AAAATTTTTAAGCAGTTAATTTAGCGTAAAATTCCAAAAATAATACTGGCATTGTCAGTTTGTTTTCGAGTTAGGAGTGGGAATTTTCCTTTGGTATTGACTACAAAAACTTTTTGGCTTGCGTCTTTGTCAAATTTACTATCAACTATAAAACTTGGTTGTTGTTGGCATCTTTATAATTGTTAGATTTATTTGCATGTTTGTTAGTCAGTTTTGTTTATGTCTGAGATGTATGTTTAAACAGTTTTAGATCCCAATTATTGTCACATTAACCTATCATGTATGTTTGGATTACTCGCCCAATTTTGTCAATTTAACAGACCTATAAAACATCTGTCATACAAGTTGGGGGTTTAGCTAGCTATAAACCTAGGTTCAGCCCACCAATTGGAAAATGCCTGCACAAAATCAGGAGTATTACAGTTGTTTTTGTCCATTCGTTCCGTTGGTTAATAAAGTGATAAAGTGTAACGTTTGATTTTGTCAGTTTTTATGGACGTCCTTTTTGAATTTGCCTAGGAGTTCGGTATTTTTGTTATACTTTTTTACTTTCTTTGTCTATTGATCTGGAATTATTTGCGTTTTTTTCTGTGTGACATTTAAATGCATAATTGCTTTACCCCCATGCAATAGTGTTGATTGAACTTGATTGGCAAAGAAATTATGTGATAACTGAATTTCGAACATCAATTATTTAAAAAAAACACCAGTCAGAAAAAGCTAAAATCAGAAAAGAATCAGAAATCAAAGCGCGAAAGCGCTGTAAAGGCAGTAAATTACAGGTTGTGTGTATTTTTAGTCCAGTTATATCATTATCTTGCATAGTACAGTGTACCTATCAGAGGTGGCTTTCAGTATTTAAGATTTAGAGTTCTCTAATGATATTGAACAAGTTTTTTTGAATGTCATATTCTGAGCACTATATGAAGGCGTTTGTTCTCACTTGTTTATGAACTTGTGCATTATATCCAGTTTGTACCTTTTTTATCTATGTTTATAGTCAAATTAGTTATCAAAGGTACCAGGATTATAATTTAATACGCCAGACTCGCGTTTCGTCTACATAAGACTCATCAGTGACGCTCAGATCAAAATAGTTATAAAGCCTAACAAGTACAAAGTTGAAGAGCATTGAGGACCCAAAATTCCAAAAAATTGTGCCAAATACGGCTAAGGTAATCTATTCCTTGGATAAGAAAATCCTTAGTTTTTCGAAAAATTCAAAGTTTTGTAACAGGAAGTTTATAAAAATGACCATATAATTGATATTCAAATACTGTTTAAAATAGTTAGGCATTTTCTTTTTAGAAATAAGTAAATGTTATCAACTGTATTTTATTCAACTCTGCAAATGTGGTTTGTTACTGGTAAGTATGGATGATAGTTGTTTCATTGGCAATCATAACACATCTCCTTATTTATATAATGATCTATATTCAACGACCTCAGGTACAAAAAAAATGTATGTAACTAAACTGTGAAAGGAAACCTTTGACTTCTTTCTTTTATATAAACTTTTGATTTGGTACCATAGAACTATGTAGAATAAATGTACATTGCAACATGTCAACTCTTTCAATGACAATACTTTTTTAGAAACTATAACTCCTAGCAAAATTATATTTCCAAGTTTAAAGTAATTTATGAATGAAAAAAGGAGTTCTTAATTAAGAAATAAACTGATTCGCTGAGCGCAGCTGGATACACCGCAGAGGTCCAACCCTGAACAGTTGGGGCAAAAATGGACACAATATTCAAGCTTGATACAGGTCTGTATTTGGATTGTAATTAAATATTTTACATATTATAGTTTCTGAATAAATGTAGTCAAAGAACTTGAAATCGGTTATATGAATTGAATTTATATTCAATTAAAGATTTCTTGCTGTTGTGCAATAAACTGTGCTGTTGCGCAATACTTAATAAATCTGTTGCCAGACTATAAAGAATAAAGTTCAATTTCTTCTCAATGTCATATTTGAAATTTATGAAAATCTATAGGGAGATTACATCAATAGCTATAAATAATTCACCCAAGTTTCATGCGAACTGCTTATAGCATTTTTGAGTTGTTGTCCAACAACAGTGCACACGCTGAAATGTCTCGCCTTCTTTACTAATCACTGAAATTATGTTGATAGTCCTTAATATAAAGCTTTATTACAACTGTCACATAAACTTAACATTAACCAAGAAAACTAAACATTGACCAATGAACCATGAAAATGAGGTCAAGGTCAGATGAACCATGCCAGGCAGGCATGTACAGCTAACAATTCTTCCATACAACAAATATAGTTGACCTATTGCTTATAGTTTAAGAAAAACAGACCAAAACACAACTAGATACGCCCGCAGAGGTCCAACCCTGAACAGTTGGGGCAAAAATGGACACAATATTCAAGCTTGATTCAGGTCTGAATTTGGATTGTAATTAAATATTTGACATATTATAGGTTTCTGAATAAATGTAGTCAAAGATCTTGAAATTGGTTATATGAATTGAATATGCAATTAAAGATTTCTTGCTGTTGTGCAATACTTAGTAAACCTGTTGTCAGACTATAAACAAATAAAGTTCAATTAATTCTCAATGTCATATTAGAAATTTATGAAAATAAAAAGGGAGCTTACAACAATAGATATAAACAATTCACCAAAGTTTCATGAGAATTGGTGACAGCATATTTGAGTTATTGTTCGAAAACTGGAAAAATCACCCCTTTTTTTAATGAATAAAACCCCACAACTCAGAAATGTAAAATGTAAAATTTATAAAATTCTAAAGGGAGCTTACATCAATACATACAAACAATTCACCAAAGTTTCATAAGAATTGCTGTAAGCATTTTAGAGTTTTTGTCCGAAAACTGGAAAATCCCCCCTTTTTTTATGAATAAAACCCTGTAACTCGGAAACGTAAAATCTAAAATTTATGAAAATTGAAAGAGAGCTCATGTCAATAGATATAAACAATTCACCACAATTTCTTGCAAGTTAGTGAAAGCATTCTTGACTTATTGTCAGAAAACTGGAAAATCCCCCTTTTTTTAATGAATAAAACCCCATAACTCGGAAACGTAAAATCTAAATTTTATAAAAAATGAAAGGGAGCTCACGTCAATAGATATAAACAATTCACCAAAGTTTTATGCAAATTGGTAAAAGCATTTTTGAGTTAATGTCCGACATGTTGACGACGGACTGACAGACGGACAACGGTATACCATAATATGTCCCGTTAACGGGCGTATAAAAACTTAACAGAGCAATGAACTGTGAAAATGAGGTCAAGGTCAAATAAAACCTGCGCGACTGACATAAAGATCATAAAATATTTCCATACACCAAATATAGTTGACCTATTGCATATAGTATTAGAAAAAAAGACCAAAACTCAAAATCTTAACTTTGACCACTGAACCATGAAAATGAGGTCACGGTCAAATGACACCTGCCAGCTAGACATGTACATCTTACAATCATTCCATACACCAAATATAGTAGACCTATTGCATACAGTATAAGAAAAACAGACCAAAACACAAAAACTTAACTATAACTACTGAACCATGAAAATGAGGTCAAGGTCAGATGACACCTGCCAGTTGGACATGTACACTTTACAGTCCTTCCATACACCGAATATACTTGACCTATTGCTTATAGTATCTGAGATATGGACTTGACCACCAAAACTTAACCTTGTTCACTGATCCATGAAATGAGGTCGAGGTCAAGTGAAAACTGTCTGACGGGCATGAGGACCTTGCAAGGTCGCACATACCAAACATAGTTATCCTACTACTTATAATAAGAGAGAATTTAACATTACAAAAAATGTTAACTTTTTTTTCAAGTAGTCACTGAACTATGAAAATGAGGTCAAGGACATTGGACATGTGGCTGACGGAAACTTCGTAACATGAGGCATCCATATACAAAGTATGAAGCATCCAGGTCTTCCACCTTCTAAAATATAAAGCTTTTAAGAAGTAAGCTAACGCCGCCGCCGCCACATCACTATCCCTATGTCGAGCTTTCTGCGACAAAAGTCGCAGGCTCTACAAAAACTGGAAAATCCCAATAAAACACCATAACTCAGAAATGTAAAATCTAAAATTTATAAAATTCTAAAGGGAGCTTACGGATTGATAATTTAGTCTTAGATGCAAGATTTTTATATCAGTTGTTAGTGGCTTTGAACTAGCTGTCAGTAACTGCAAGTACTCTCAGATCTGTACTTTCTGTCTTTTTCTTGTTTGGATGTACAACTACCCGACCACATCCACTTGTATTTGTATTTATCCATCTGATGAGTTAAGCCTCTTTCAAGTGATTTTTATAGTTCGTTCTTATATTGTACTGTTACACCACTGTCCCAGGTTAGAGGGAAGGTTGGGATCCCGCTAACATGTTTAACCCCGACACATTCTGTATGTACATGTATGTGCCTGTCCCAAGTCAGGAGCCTATAATTCAGTGTTTGTCGTTTGTTTATGTGTTGCATATTTGTTATATTCGTTCATTTTTTGTACATAAATTAGGCCGTTAGTTTTCTTGTTTGAATTGTTTTACATTGTCATTTCGGGCCTTTTATAGCTGACTATGTGGTATGGGCTTTGCTCATTGTTGAAGGCCATACTGTGACCTTTAGCTGTTAATTTCTGTGTCATTTGGTCTCTTGTGAGAGTTATCTCATTGGCAATCATACCACATCTTCTTTTTTATATTTACATCAACAGATATAAACAATTCACCAAAGTCAAGGTGAGACAACAAAACTTAGTGGTAAGATCTCTGAAATTTTTTACACGGTACAAATTTTTCTCATTGTTGGAGATTGTACGGTGACAGTAACACCTGTAACTGCTTAAACCCATTTCTTATGCACTTTAGTTCGATAAACTCACTGAATATCATACCACATCTCCTTATTTTTATATGCATTACAATTTACATGTGCATGTAATTATAAATATATATATATCAGAACAAAATTCATTGCGTCACTTTTATTTCTGCATCCTTTGGCACAATACAAGTTTTAAAATTACACAACATAAAACAACTAAATGTTATTTCAGATGAAAGTTTTGTTTCAGTTCCATTCATACATGTAGGATTTGTTAGAATTTTGTATGTTTTGCCAAGTCCAATAATTCGCTCTATGTGCACATGTTAATTGGAGACTTTTCTATCCCGTATAAGAGTTTTGGAACTAATTCTGTTTCTTTTTTTGAAAAAAGTTAGCAAACAAATCTTGCACATTTAAACCTTTGTCTGCCATCACACTGTCACCTGGATCACATAACTGAACTACATTTTGTATTCTACATCTTTCAACTATTTCATAGTCACTGGTAGAACCAACATATGCAGTAGAGACATAGTTGACTAAACCACCAGGCGTCGAACATACAAGTATTTTCAGTGTTTCTGTTTTTATATGATGAAAAGGTTGCCTGAGCTCTAGGAGCTTTAGTTTTATCACGGGATATTCTGTGCTGTCAATAATAATCCAAGTCTTAGGAAACTTTAATTTGAAGTTGGATGGCGAAAAATGCCTGACTAACCCACTAGATGGCCAAGTGTTAGCCTCACACCACTGTTTAGGCATAAAAACAATCCATGTATATACACAATATTCTTAACACTAGATTCAATCTAGAATCTAGAAAGTTCAAAGTTGGTTGTATAATGCCTCAATTTCATCAAAGTCATAAAAAAACTGATTTTCAACTGACGCCCTATCAATTTGAAAATATATGTATCTCAAACAATGTGCTGTTGGACCAAGTGTGGTCAAAACAAATAAAAATTTAGTATACAACTCTTAAATGGTATAAAAATGCATGGCTGTGTCACGTGTCTTCATTTCAAAATTCTCTGCTGAAAACATAGACATTGATGGTGTTTGCGTACTTCCATCTTTGAAGCTCAACATTAGCTCAGCAGTTGGTGGTGGACAGTCATAAATCCTTTCTGCAGTATGAATGACTTCTTCAGGAAAACCAACTTTACAATCAAAACTTTCCTCTAGATTTCTACTACAATATTCATCAAGTTTAGTTCTTTTGTTTTCACAGGAAACTGCCCTGATTTTTCTTTTTGCGGACGATTCAGTCTCTTGCTTGGTCCAGGAAAATAGGCTGGGAATGGCAGTAGACTTAGGTCTCTGTATGGTGGGTTTGCGCCCTGAAAAAGGTTATAAAACATTAGTTTTTTGATAATTAAATGAACTTCCATTAGCAATGTATACTTTGTATTACCTGGCGAAATATTAACTAGATTTATTCATTACAATCTGGATAAAACTATGTTTGCCTGATTCAATGTATGTTATGTAAATCCAAAGGACAAACAATGAGAGACTTATGCAACAAACGTACATTGTTTGTACCTAAATAACTATAATATTGATGAGAGCATGTCATTGTTTTGTTCCTGTTAACATTGTCATTGATATTTTTCAAGAAAGTCTATGAGGCATAGCTTATGCATTCCTGTCATTACTACATTAGCATAATTAGTGCTAAAATAATTCTCAGTATGATATACCTCTTGCAAGAAATCATTATAACTGTAGCAATCACCAAAAAATCTCAAACAGATCACATTGAATCGTAATCCAAAAAATTATGACGTCTTGAATTAACCACCCCCTTTTATTCTAAAACGATAATTGCGGTTGTAAACAGGCTTTGGTTTATTCGCATGGCGATTACATATATAACTATATATTTCAAAAAGAAAATAGAGTTTTACCATGAATAGTTTCCTGCACGTAGTCTTTTTCAGTAAAATGTGCCTTGCAAACAACAGCTGATTGAGATGGACTCCACGATGAAATCGTGTTCTCGTCCAATCTGCGTTTGGGCCATGGCGTTGATCCAACTTTTCCTTCTTTTTAAGTCATTTGGAAATGCATGTCCTTCTCTTAAATGACATCCAGGTACACAACAACAAGTACTTGGCATCGTTAATTTAAAATGTAACTGAAATAGTTGCACAGTGCAGAAACAGGAAGTTGAGGAACAGGATCGGCTACCACGGCGCCACCTATTCAGGAACGATAATTTGCTACTTTATATAACTGCGAAAATTATAACAATAACGTTAGACGGGTTCACGTGCATAAACAGAAATGCGCTTTAAATTGTATAATATAATTAATGTTCAGTCGACTCTTAATTATTATATCAACGACTGAAATGATTAATAAACATCTAGATTGCAGATAACACTCGAAATTAACCCGAGCTCTTTCCACACGGAATTCAAATAATTCTAGTTTGTCAATCGGTTGACTGCTTATAATGCAAAATACAAATATATCAAAAGTTTTTAAAACTAACAAAACACAATGATCGTTTCTCTATTTCCCAATGTAAATGAAATGAAACAAAAAACATTTTATATCACAATAAGAAGAGGAGAGAATTCAACATATCCGGATCTACTTGGAGCCTAATGACCCCCCACGTAGATAAGTTGGATATCGCGGAAGGAAGGATTAACCCGGCAACTAGAAAGGCATTAAAGCACTGCCTTTAAAAACTACATTATATCATCCACTAGTTGTTAATATATGTTATATTGGAAAAATATAGTGAAGCACAAAAATATGTCTTGTTTCGTTTGTTAAAGATTTCTATATGAATTTGATTGATTTATAACAATTTGTGATTTTGAAATTTAAGATGCAAAGTAGAAGTCTAATCGTATATTCTTTCTGTTCATAATTATATATATAAATAAAAAGAATGTGACCACGGGACTCAAAGTTCCCTTACCATCAAAGTAATGGGTTCAGAAAAGTTGAAGACTGGGGCCTGAGTAAAAATTGAAAAAGAAATACAAATATGGCATTAACAGAATGTCATCTATGGTAATTGTGAGAATAGAACTAAACTTAAAAACTTAATCACCACAGTGTGATATGCTTGAAACATTTTGTTTTATCATACTTCAGATTAAAGCTTTTTTCTGCATAAAAAGGAACGTTTATCTGGAACTTACAACACAGGTTAAAGTCTGCTTCTCTGCTAATAATGTCCCATTATATCTGGAACTTACAACACAGGTTAAAGTCTGCTTCTCTGCTAATAATGTCCCATTATATCTGGAACTTACAACACAGGTTAAAGTCTGCTTCTCTGATGTCCCATTATATCTAGAACTTACAACACAGGTTAAAGTCTGCTTCTCTGCTAATAATGTCCCATTATATCTAGAACTTACAACACAGGTTAAAGTCTGCTTCTCTGCTAATAATGTCCCATTAAGGAATAAGAACAGATTTATCTTTATTGATTCAGCATCAGATATCCAGACATGTCTCTCTGAGGGCTGTTACCTTGTATGCTAGAGAGTTAAAAATGTAACTCGGTGTCTATCTAGTACAAGGCATGGTTCATATTATATACCTTTGTACCTTTGTCTATGGGTCATAAAATAAGCCATGGCTTCTACTGACCCCTCGTCTTGGAATGTCCTAATGAAATTTCTCATCGTATGATCATATATGTATTATACTTATTAAAAATAAAAACTTATATTAGTGTCCTCAACTATATTCACATACACATGATCTAGTATGATTATGGATAAAAAAAAATGCAAACTGAATATTAAACATCCACTTTCTTGTTAAAGTTGGAGATTAAGCCCCTGTCAGTTACTGATTTATTGATGCTCTTTAAATTAATGATTGACACCTTATTGATGCTGGTTAAGTAAATTCATGATTGACAGTTAAAGGTCTGTTCCTTGTGGTCTGATTCTGCAGTTAAATGTACCAAAGTAATCAAATATCCTATCCTTAGAACATCAAACTTGGTTACCATATACAAATGTAAAAAAGAGATAAAAAAAATCTTTATTATCAAAAATATTTTTATTATAAAATGTAAGATACTACAAAAATAACCTGATAACAATATTAGAAAGATACAGAGGTATTAATACAAATGCATGCATTATGTACAATCAACAGCTTATTAAAATTCATTATTTACAGAAAACAGAAAACTACATAGAGTACAAACAAAATCAATACTGTATTTAGAAAAATTATGAAACAAAAGTGTGAGATATAAATAGCATATAGTGTTTAAAAGATGTATGCTATATTATGTGCAAAAACAAAAGAAAAAATCTAGAGCAAGACTGATTTGAGGGCTGAAGGAAAAAGGCACATATCAAAATCCCAATCAACCATAAATACAAAATTATAATTTTTTTTATATAATTCTTGGATTTATAATTGAATATACAACCATCCACCAATGACTAATTCTAAGTACCTCACAACCCACCAACACCCTTATTCCCCTTTAAAATCAATTAAAGAATAACCCTATATAAGATCTTACAGAGAATGGTTACAATGCACACATTTCAACAGATTCTCCAAAACCTGACTTGTCAATAGTAATTACATCTTCATTATACTATTCATAACAATTAATACTTTTTTAATCAAGAACTGAGTGTGTTGACAAAGATATTAACATATTGGCAAGCCTCATAAAAAATCTTCATATTGATATAATATCAAATTATTATCAATGCAAATATTGTCCAAATATGTATATCTATAATAAAAACTTAATGGCCCCTCGGCTACGGCGGGGGAATAAAAATATCACTAAAAAACAACAAAAAAATCCTGCAAGACTTGACATCATCTTTGCATAGGTGCAATAGATTCAAGAGGAATGTTCAATTTTGTATAAAAATATTCAACTTTCAGATCTGATATTATTTAAAAATCAGTGAATAGAAATATGGTGAGAGTACATTTAATCACAGATACAAGCTTCTCAGATTACTTGTAAAGTCTTTGGTACATAGATGTTTTTATTCATGCTTTCATATTTGGAACAGTAGAAATCCATTCTAATTATATAGTTTTCATAGTATTTAAATTCCCTTAAATAACCAACAAAAGCAATAAATATTGGGACACAATTATTTGAAATTATTAAACAATTGTCACTTATAAAATTTTAGAGTATTCAAATTACATTCAATACTTCGTATTTGAGCATATCAAATATATAACAGAAATGAGTATTCTCTGTCAAATATCACAGATCTTTCTTCTTCTCCACTTTTAAATCATAACTGCACTGTAAGTGTATACTGCTGCTTCAACTTCATTGGTACTGAAGATCTGTCCCAATCACCAATGTGTCCTATAAAACATACCAAATAGTAAGAAATCTACCAAACTGTGTATTTCTTTCATGGGTATTATAGTATAAATGTATGAGGTATTTGACCAACCATGTATAACAATTGATCAACATTCATTATCATAGAAAATATTAAACTAATATTAAAATAAAAAATTCATACAAATTAAAGAAGACCTAATCAAAAAAGGAGATACTATCCCAGCAACAAAAAAAATTTTGTAAAGAACTCATCCACAGTTTGGATGAGTGAAAAACTTCATCCAGCTTTAACAGATCTGATAGAAAAAAAATAAATTGACAGATTAAGTCACAGACTAATGGAAGGATAACAATTAGAGGCTCTCAGGAGCCTGTGTCGCTCACCTGTATCTACTGTGGTTTTAGAAATCATGTAAAATAAGGTTAAACTCATAATAAATTGTATTAGATACCCTAATAATGATTGAGGCCAAGTTTGGTTTAATTCTGTCCAGCAGTTAAATTTAAAGCAGGTCATCCCATTGTAGTCCTACAATAATTACTGAAGACCCCTTATCATTATTTAAATTAGTTTTCAAGTTGTGACTATTTGAAATTGTTTTTTTACAATTTTGCCATAGACTTCTATAGAAAACCTCTGTTCTATTTTTAGCCATATGCATGGTGGCCATGTTGGTTGGATGACAGGGTCATCTGATACATTTTTCAATCAAGATACTCTATTGAAAATTGTGGCTTACTTTAATTCTATTTGGCCCAGTAGATTAATTGGAGAAGATTTTTGAAAAAGATTAAAAAAAATTACAAAAAATTGTGAAAAATTGACTTTAAAGGGCAATAACTCCTGAAAGGGGTCAATTGACAATTTTGATCATGTTGACTTATTTGTAGAGCTTACTTTGCTGCACATTATTGCTGTTTACAGTTTATCGCTATCTATTAAAATATTCAAGATAATTACCGAAAACTGTAAAATTTCCTTAAAATTACCTATTCATGGGCAGCAACCCAACAACAGGTTGTCTGATGCGTCTGAAAATTACAGGGCAGATAGATCTTGACCTGATGAACATTTTTACCCTATGTCAGATTTGCTCTTAATGCTTTAGTTTCAGAGATATAAGCCAAACTGCATTTTACTCCCCATGTTCTATTTTTAGCCATGGCTGCCATCTTGGTTGATGGGCCGGGTCATTGGATACATTTTTAAAACTAGATACCCTAAGGATGATTAAGGCCAAGTTTGGTTTAATTTGGCCCAGTAGTTTCAGAGGAGAAGATTTTTGTAGAGGTTAACGGACGACGACGGGCAACGGACACCAAGTGATGAGAAAAGCTCACTTGGCCCAAAAGTGAGCTAAAAATGTTACCCTACGCAACTTCCTCGAGTGAGGAATAAGAACTAAAAGGTCACTGAACAGTAGGGATGAATAATGACTTGTTAAACAACACACTAGAATGATAGTTTATGATTGATACATTTTAATAAACACACTTTATTAGATTTAGATAAACACACTTTATTAGATTAAGATAAACACACTTTATTAGATTAAGATAAACACACTTTATTAGATGAAGATAAACACACTTTATTAGATTTAGATAAACACACTTTATTAGATTTAGATAAACACACTTTATAAGATAATCTAACATTTAAACGATAAAATATTCCAAAGTAACAGAAGCATGGCTAAGAAAAGGACTCTCATATTCTGCAAGAAACTGAAATTGAGGATGCTAACCCAACAGAACATCAAACATCTGTAGTTCATAACAATTAATTCTTCATAAACAAACCTGATCAGAAAAATTTATGTGCAATGTAAAATTCCAAAAAGTGCCATGTCTAATGTGAGATGTATTAATTCTTATACTTTATACAAAATAGTAATAGCTTATCATATGTACTTCTTGATTCAAGCTGATCAGAAAATTTTGAATTAAGCAATGACAATTCTAACAATACCATTGTCACCTTTGTGAGACACAAACTATGCTTCATTTAATTTGATGGGCATTATTGGATGGGTCTCTCCTCAAGGAAATCCCAATAAATTCTTAATCCAATGTTGTCTTGGTACCGTTTTTTTTTTTCCTTTGTTGATTACCATCTTAAATTTCAACTTAATTAGTAATATGTAAAGTACTAACCTTATTTAGTGTGACTTCTGTGTTGATAAAATGAACATTGTCTGTTACTGGTAGTGGTATACCTTCAGCACCAAGCTCTACAAAATAAAGTATCAAACACTGCATAAACAGATTTCTATCGCTTTTAAATTATGATCATACTGGTTGCTGAAGTTTTCCTTATCTTATAACTCTGTCCAATATATGGAGAAAAACAATTCAAGTATTTCTTATATTTGATTTTTATTGTCAATTATCCAAGATTCTATATCGTACATGCTAAAATTAAATCATAAATTCACAACCCTAGGAATATATAATTCAAATCATAGATTTGTATTCAAGTTTGACTTATCGTCGCACTCGTCTGTAAGCCTAATGAGGTCATTAAATGTGATGTAAAGCTCATCGTCAATGTGAAAAGACCTAAAAGTAGGTCACTATGACTTATTTGATGGGATAAAGATGCCATGGAGAGAGAGCTGGTGCAGTCAACATACTGGAATTATGTTTATTCTATAAAAAAAAATCCAAGACGTCTGAGTCACTTTTAATAATGTGCACATATCTAGTATCAGGAAAAAAATCAACATTTTGTAATGGAATATTGGGGGGGGGGGGGGGGGGACATTAAATATGATAATCTGGGAAAATTTCTGAAATTTTCACACATTTTTTTAACATACTGGAATAGCTCTTGATTTTTAAGCCTTTTCAATACAAATGTCTTTTTTCTAGTAAAAAAAAAATTAGTTTTTACAAAATTAGATAAATCCATACTACTTACTATTGAGCTGTGGTTCAGCAAATGCTATTATTGCTGTATTCGCTATAAAGTTCAATATTGTATCCTAAAATATAAAATATATATTGTGTCATTTAGATTAGTGATGTATTTTTCTAAAACTAGCTTCGCTGTGCATCTTGTTTGGTCAGTTTTTCTGAATATCTCACAGGATGTCTATTCAGAGATATAACAATGATAATATATGATTTATAGAAAATGTTGGCTTCAATCAGTTATGAAATATAATTTAACTCCAATGTGACAAAGGAACAAAACTTAGTATCTAACTCTTAACTCAGGTGTAAAAGGAAGCATAAAATACAGGTCAAAGTGACCTGATGCATAATTTTGAAGACTATTGTAACTTTGAAACTAATGTACAAAAATGTATTAATAAGAGTATTATTGTACAAATTGAAACAATAATATTTGAAAAATATAAAATAGAATGGAGTAATAGAGTATCTATGTATGCTCAAGGTAATAAATAAAGAACATATAAGTTATTTAAATATGATTATTGTACTGAACCTTACTTAAAATGTAAATTGCCACCTAAATTTAGGAGTGCTTTTGCAAAATTGCACCCCTTAGAATAAAAACAGGTAGATATGAAAGAAAAGAAATACATGAAAGAACATGTTTTTATTGTAATAATAGTATTGAAGATGAACTACATGTTTTATCAAAATGTCCACAATACGAAGATCTTAGACACATATTGTTTTATGAAGCTGCAAATTTTAATGTGGATTTTAACGTTTAATCAGATAATCAAAGATGATATTTTTTTAATCAATAACGATAAAGTTTTTGAAAGTTTTGCCAGAACCTGCTATAACATTTTAATCAGAAAAAAAAACGTTTTTTAAATCATTAATTATGCTGTATTTTAATGATATTCTTAAACAAATATATATTATATATAATATCTACTTTATCAAACTGTATTTTAATATTGCTTGTACAGTCTCTCATAAATCTTTTAAGATTGGCACATACAATGATAATGTAATGTTTCATGTTATCTGTTTTATGTACCTGTATGAATATTTTATTGTGTAAATATATGTAATTGTATGTGGTGAGACTATAATAAAATATTGAATCCTGAATCTTGAATCTGCATCACAAATTCATGTTGTAGGTCAATTAGTATTCAATTAGTGTCAGTACAAAAGCTTAATAATTGAATACTAATTGAATACTAATTGAATACTAATTAGTATTCAATTAGTATTCAATTATTAAGCTTTTGTACTGACACTAATTGAATACTAATTGACCTACAACATGAATTTTCATGTTGTAGGTCAATTAGTATTCAATTAGTGTCAGTACAAAAGCTTAATAATTTTAATGAAGTTTTAAAACTTAATCAGAACCACTAAACCATGAAATGTTAATTTGACAAAAAAACAAAATGTTTTTGGTATCCATGCCCTTTTCACATACCCATCTCATAAATTAAACTTACACTGATCTGTCCAACGTTAGACTTGACAACATGGAGTTTGAGTCTGTAAAAAGTGAAACAAATATTTCATGATAAAGCTTCAATATTTTAAACACAAATGTATGAGAAACAATTAGTACTGGTAAGTGATAGATGATTGTCAAAAGGGGAATAACTCAAACAATTTATTTCTTGTCATTATTCTTAACAAAGTTAACAAATTTAATTCATAAATATGCAGTAGATAATTTATAGAATAGTATAAGAACACAACAAAAATAGATTTTAGTATGGATTTTTTTTCATTTATATGGGCTGTGGTGGGAAGATATCCAAGTATTTCATGTAGACATTTGAATATGTAAGTCTGAAATTACATATGTAAATATGACACCATAGAAAAATAGCAAGGAAGGAACACCAATTGTTTGCACTTTAAGACTACCTCCTCCTTATATAATGACATATGTTGTTTCAATCAATGGGTAAAAACTGTATTCAATATGGTTTTATGTATGCTTAATGACTTTTAAATATCAGATTTTGTTGCTGAAGTTGAGCAGGTTTTATTTGTTAATAAGTTGTAGACATTAGTCCTTGTAAATCCTGACTTGTGAAGCCCATACAAGTATTTGTTTTGAATTTTCAAAATAAATTGAGCAATATTTTTATTATCCAAATATAAAAGTATTTGTTCCAGGAATTAAAATGCTACGTTTATGAAGTTGAAAGTTCAACTTCCCAGTTACCTTAGCATAACATTTACAGGTAGACCATATAAGAAGGTATATAGTCAAGCAGAAAATAATACTTATTTGTGAATTACGATGATGATAGACAAATGTTAAACATCTATCTATAAAGTAGTACTTCACAGTACATGCATATTCAGGACAAGGACACATTAAAATAAGATATAAGTTTACCTTGCTTTGACACACGGAGAGATTTTTCAATGTGCTAACTGACATAGTAACAGACCACTTCAAGACATATCCTACCTGGCCACATTATTTTCTCTTTGAGCCAACCAGTCTTTGCTCTTATACCTAAATTTCCTATTCATAGAGAGGCAGGATATTACAATTTAAACATTTTGAATTGAAATACAAATGACCTTATTTTTATATTCTATATGAACATGATGAATAGAATCAAATCAGAGGTTAAATTACAAAATATCCTTACTTTTATAAACCTTGATGCTATAAATATTTTTAATTACTCACTTCATTTCACTAATACTTCCATAAATCTTCTCACTCTTCACATTCAGTGAAACAGATGCAGTCATTGTCTAAAACACATAAAAAAAGTATTTTATACTGAAGAATTTTATTATCTTGTTATCTTTAATATTGTCAAGCCAATTAGCTCCGACTGGTTGATACTGTGTAATTATTTTGCATCAAATATTTTATGATCACATAACCTTGTGCTTGGGTTTGAGAACTCAAGGAATTACTTGTCAAAAAATATGTTCATGAGAAAGAGAAATGAGTCATTTGACTCAATATAACTTCTAACAAACTGGTTTCCATTTGATAATATGTGTATTGTTAAAATTATGGTAATTCATATCAATTTAAACCAAGATTCTGGTCAAATTTTTGAAGTTTTTTCCATTTTCAATTTCGAAAATAGCAAAACTCAGTACGCGATTGAAAAAAATGATGCACATAAATAATTCTTTTAGAAATCAAAACATGGCACAATTTTCTGAATTTACAGTACAACTAAACTCAATGATATCATTACTGGTATCATACAGACTTGATATAAATTCATACGTTTATGATTTTTTCATTTAAAGGGATAAGATGTTGTCTTGTCATACCTTCTCCAGTGTTAGGAAATGCATCAGTTCTCAAGAGTAATTTTCATATATATGTTGTGTAATTTTACCTACCGACAGTAAAATTTCAAAACTATATAGGTGACTACAGAATTATATGTTACTATTTATTCAAATAAACTTACAGCATTTAATGTTAATAAGAATATATCTCCCTGGACAGTAAACATGTTGATGGTTCCTCCACTCAGTACATTAACTTTACCATTAGTAACAGACATATTCGGTGAGATATCACTGGACATAAACATGGTCACTTGTCGGTTTGGATACTTCTTTCCTATCTAAAAAGAAATCTCATATGTTTACTTGAAGCCTTTTAATTTAAGCATTATGGTTTGTAATAATTTGTTTATCAACAGGTCAATATTCAAATTAAGGATATACGTGAACTGATAAAAGTTAATGTGAAATTTCTGCTACAAAAAAATGTCTGAAATTATCAATAATGTAAATATTTTTTCAACATAATTTCATTCATTTATGTGGTATATTGGTAATCAATACTGTTTACTTCATTTAGTTTTTTAAACATCTTAGTACATTTAACATTTGTAAGACTAATTTTCACATGATAATTTATTCATTCCTACTAATATAGCCTAAACTGCTCAGTGTTCTCCCCAGGATTTTTGGATAGCACCAGGGTAACCTGTGCTCTTTGTAAAATGATTTGTATAATGTGTCGTGTTGCGTTGTGTCGCTTACCTATATTTCTAGTTACTGTAGTTTTTATGTCTTTTGTTTTGTTTTAATACTGTGGTACTGTGTTATGTAGACATTGAGTCAGAAAATTATTGGTAAAAGAGAAGTAAATCAATAAACAGTTTGTATACTGTAAATTCAGAAATTATTGCGATGTTTTTATTATTGCGAAAAATGCGACAGGGTTATAATCGCAATAATATAAACTCGCATTTTGAAATTTTTTATATGAATTCAAAAAAGGATTTTTCTCAATATCGCAAAAATTTAAATCGCATTTTAGTCTAAAATGACAAAATCGAAATAATAAATGCACGCAATAATTTTCGAATTTACAGTACTTGAATATCTTTTTAAAATAAATAAAACATGATTCATTACTAAATAATTTATAGTAATTAAATCTTTTATAAAATTCATGATCAATAAAAATAAAATATCATTTAAGAGTTCAATTTAAAAAAACTTTCTAGTTTCTAGATAGAAAATTGTTGTATATAAAAGGATTCCTGTCTTAAGGAGACATAGAATTTACAAGAACTTATATTGTTTTATTATTTAAACCAGTTTCTATCTTAAATTCTAATAAAAAAAAAATTTCATAAACTTTTTAACATTTTGCCATAAATATAAATTTCATGTAAATATTAACCTTTTTTGTCTTTGGTGATGACCAAACATAGATACAGACTAAATACTGCACTAAAACCTTAATCTTTATTTGTCATGATCCATTTAAAAAGAATTCCTTAATCAATCTTAGGTCTATAGATCTATAAGTAACCATATTCAATGTCAACAACAAAGTCTCCCTATTTTCCCGCCTAAATGACAGGAAGTAGATATAAATAGATTTTAAAATGTGCTTATGGATAATGTTTTCTGTACTTCTTTCATTCATCAATTTTGGATATAGATATTCAGTTTGAAGGTACAGTCATTCCTTTTATTTATAAATAGATTGCAATTAATAAATAAACTTGAATTTTCTACTTAAATTAACTGCGTCATGTGATATTAGTCCCGAGATTACTCTTGATGGCCAAGGGCTGTTTTGCCAGACAAGCTGGGGCTGTAGTTATTTGTGATCATAAAATTATGATATCTTAATTAAAACACCAAACAATCATGTTACAAGTGTTGATTACATCGATTAAATCCAATTAACAAGGTTAACTTCATTAGGTAAATCGATCACGTGGTGTAAACAATCTGGTCTGACAAATTTCACCTGGAATTTTATACCGCACGGAAAAGATTTATCAAGTCATTTAAAACTTTACTGATTTACGATTTTTTAACTGAAAATTTTAGCATCACAGACAAAACATTATACATCGTGGTAAGACCAATAGAACCACGGTAAAAAATTGTACATGGAGGGCCCGCAGTCCTTTAAGGGCTTAGGGAGAACACTGCTGCTAACAGTAAGTTCTTACAAGTAAAGCAAGAAATCTTACTTACTTGAGGTATAACCTGTCCAATACATGGTGTTCCAACACATGTGGTGTTTAGAAAATCTTTTTCTTTAGCTGGAAGCTGAAATTCAAAAGAAAATATTATACAGTATAATTTAATACTGTAACTGGTCATGATTTTAAATTAACACGAAATATTATACTTTAAATGTTTCAGATTCATTATCTGTTCTGTGTATGTGTACTTTAGTGTGTATTTGTGTACTGTTATTCTTTGAATTTTTTTATCTTGTAAAATATTACAGAGTTGATTTTTTATTCGGCTAGTAATTTACTATTATTGTTTCCATGATATTTATTAATATCATACTTTATACATTTTCTAGGATAAAAAACAAAATGTCATATAACAATTTAAAGCTTGTTCTGAAAAACACATTTTTCCTACCATAATTTTTTCTCTCAAAGATATGATAATAAAAATCTTCAATATGAAACAATTTTGATTGGCTAAAAGTACCTACATCTTTTTGGGTCAGATTATACTCTAACATCTTGTGAATTTGAGCTTCATAAGCCAATGTATTAAACACATAATCTGACATAGAAATGTAGAACATCTTTTTTGTACTGCTGATCGGTGGCATGGAGGGAGGATCAAATGGTGCCTCTGTCATACTGCTGGTCCAATAAATTTCTCCCTAAAAATTAAATGATATATTTAGACAAAAATCCTGCAACATATCTATAGTAATTCTGAATGTTTTTCTTATAAAACAACACACAATAAAATGCTCCGCTGGGCGCAGCTTGATACGACCGCAGAGGTCGAACCCTGAACAGTTGGGGCAAGTATGGACACAACATTCAAGCTTGATACAGCTCTGAATTTGGATTGTGATTAAATATTTGACACAGCATAGGTTTCTGACACAGAATGAATGTGGTCTAAGAACTTAAAAATTTTAAATTGGACATTCACCTATTATGGTCCAATATCCAAAATCTAAATACATGGTTAGATTCAGCATATCAAAGAACCCCAATAATTAAATTTTTGATGAAATCAAACAAAGTTTAATTTTGGACCCTTTTGATCTCAATGTGGACAAAGTTGATAACTGGGCCCAAAAATCAAAAATCTAAATACATGGTTAGATTCAGCATATCAAAGAACCCCATATATTCAATTTTTGTTGAAATCAAACAAAGTTTAATTTTGGACCCCGATTTGGACCAACTTGAAAACTGGGCCCATAATCAAAAATCTAAATACATGTTTAGATTCAGCATATCAAAGAACCCTAAAAATTCAATTTTTGTTCAAATCAAACTAAGTTTAATTTTGGACCCTTTGGACCTTAATGTAGACCAATTTGAAAACGGAACCAAAAATTAAGAATCTAAATACACGGTTAGATTCGGCATATCAAAGAACCCCAATAATTCAATTTTTGATGAAATCAAACAAAGTTAAATTTTGGACCCTTTGGACCTCAATGTGGACCAATTTAAAAACGGGGCCCAAAATCCAAAAACTTAATACACGGTTAGATTCAGCATATTAAAGAACCCCAAGAATTCAAGAATAAAACCCCATTGAAATTGATCAAGAAATAAGCAATTTATATGAAGTATCTTCTTTTGCACAATACTGTGCAATTGAATATTTCTTGCTATTGCGCAATACTGTACAATTGACAATTTCTTGCTATTGCTCAATATTGTGCTATTGGATATTTCTTGCTATTGCGCAATACTGTGCAATTGAAGATTTCTTGCTATTGCGCAATACTGTGCAATTGAAGATTTCTTGCTATTGTGCAATACTGTGCAATTGAAAATTTCTTGCTATTGCACAATACTTATTATATATTAATTTACACATCCTGTTTGGTGTGTATCTCCTACCATATCATTATTATTTGCTTTTAAATATAAATCAGAAATAACCAACTTAAAATGGAAAATTTTAAAAGAAAGAAAAAAAAGAAACCCCCCCCCCCCCCCCAAATTTTTTGAACCCCATTATGATTCATCACCCCCAAACTCAATCCCAGCCTTCCCTTTGTGGTATGGTACCTTGCAGTACAATTTCAGAGAGATCCATACACTTGAACACAAGTTATTGTCTGGAAACTAGAAAAATGCTTATTTTTGGCCCCTTTTTGGCCCCCAATTCCTAAACGTTTCGGGCAATTACCCCCAAACTCAATTCCAGCTTTCCCTTTGTGATATGGAACCTTGTAGTACAATTTCAGAAATATCCAAACACTTACACACAAGTTATTGTCATGAAACTAGAAAAATGCTTGTTTTTTGCCCCTTTTTTTGCCCCTAATTCCTAAAATTTTGAGGCAATTACCCCCAAAATCAATTACAGCCTTCCCTTTGTGATATGGAACCTTGTGGTACAATGTCAGAGAGATCCATACACTTACACACAAGTTATTGTCTGGAAGTTACAAAAATGCTTATTTTTGGCCCCTTTTTGGCCCCTAATTCCTTAACTGTTGGTACCATAACCCCCAAAATCATTCCCAACCTTCCTTTCGTGGTATTAAACCTTATGGTAAAATTTCATGGAGATCCATTCACTTAAACTAAAGTTAGAGTGCGAAAACCAATGTGTCTTCGGACGACGCCAGACGACGACGACGACGCCAACGTCATACCAATATACAACCAAAAAATTTTTAATTTTTGCGGTCGTATAAAAAGGATACTATAAATTACCATTGGACAGTAAACGAAACATAACTTCTGAGAGAATAGGTATACAAACAAATCAACAACAATAAACAACACAGGGTCCAGAAACCCTGACTGAGGCCATGTTCACATTGAGCTAAACTCAGTGTGGTGTAAGTGTACTCTACACTTAAACTAAACTCAATTACATTCTCATTGATAAAAATCAATGTTAACATGTAGTTTGAAATAGGTTTTGGACGACATACAATGGATAGTCAATGTAGGCCTTGTGTGGGTTAAGTGTTCATAAAACAAGATATCAAGAGCGATGATTTTATTGTGAATATTTAAGGAAGTTACATATATTGAATAAATATTATTATAATAATTCTATGAATTAAGGTGGTACCTAACACTACAGGGAGATAACTCTGTAAAAATCAGCTAAACGTTTTAATTACGTTGTATTGTTAAGGAAATATTAAGCTTCTCAATGATCAAAATTGGTGTTTGTCAAACTGCTATATAACCAATGAAATTTTTCTGATAAAGTGGTTGGTTCAAATTTTTTGAAATTTTTATATTTTTGTCAAAGGGTCAAAGTAAACATTTGGTCAAAATTTTATGAAAATTAAACGAGCCAAATTAATATTAGTCAAGGTGTTGGGTACCACCTTAAGTTATTTTACTATTTTTATGACAAAAACTCAAAAATTGCTCTGTTAAAACCATGATTAAATTTAATAGCCTTAGTGGGCCATTTGATTTTCAGTGGGAGGATTTTTTTTCTGATAGAATATTCCTTTTACACCAGTTGATAGCACTTTTCATTTATTTAGCGTGAAAATTATTTTTTCGTGCAAAGTCCTGTTTTTTGTAGAACAAAATATTCATTTACATTATGTCGTGGACAAGGTTATTTTTACAATTAGTACCAGTCCATACTATTCATTTCCATAATCACCATATGTGTGACTGGGGAATAGTAATATGGTTACTCAGATCTTATCCGATCAGCCGTAAAACCCTTCCAAAGTAGAGCGTCCGGTTGGCTCCGTCTCGGACGGCCTCTATCAAATGACCTACCAGTTGTATTTATTGTGAATTTGTTCTCATCCTGAACATGTATGAAATATTTGCCACTGGACGTTTATCAACCAACAATTAATCAATCAATCATTTTCAAATTCCTTTTTTCGCCTATTGTTACGCTGTATTAGCAACGTAATCATGACTTCTTTAGAACTCTGGAAGTTCTCCAAATCAAAAGAACGATATTCTTAAGGTACCGTCCATTCATCTTCTTGGTACAAACCATTCTTTTTATTATTTAATAAAAAAACAAAACATTTTGTGTTCAATAACGTACAGGAACATTTTTAAAACTCCATATTGAACCCCATGCACTTCATTTTCAAGAATTCAAACAATTTTTCTCACTTCCCTCCTAGAACAAATACATTTTTTCTTAAAAATGATTAATTTAAACAATTTATCTCCCCTCCCACCCCCAAATTTTTTTTTTTAGAAAAAAAGAAAAAATATGAATTGGTCTACAAAAGTTAACAGAGAAATTTTCAATTCAATTCTATTTAATGTACATGTAAGTTACGTGTATATGTTGTTAACTGATGTGAACAATTTTCATGTACAGGTAATTAAAACCGATGTACAGATGAGAACAAATTTAATGTGAAACCAGTGTTCACTACATGACACAAATTGTAAACAGGTTTACAGTACACAGCGTTTGGTGTGAACACGGCCTTAGTAGTTGGCAATTACCCATTGGTCTTTAGATGTGTTGAAGTTTTACATCATATCCAGAAGTGTTTACTCCTATTTCAGTCTATCAGTAGTATTAACCATTTTCTCAGTATTTTTCAGGAGTATCAATGGTGAGTGCCACAATGCAGCATGAACTTGCAACATGGGTCTGGGGGAATGTGCACTAAGTAGCTGACATCTTTTCATAATTTTAAATTACCTTTCGTTACATACTTTGAAAGATCGGTAAAAGAGTCGTTTAATTTGAGGTGTTCCCAAAACTGCTGAAAATCTCTATCTCTATCATGTTTTATATGAGGTCTCTATCGTGTTTTATATGAGGTCTCTTACACTATTCATTCAAGCACTTAAGTGAAAAAAAAATTCTGAAATGAACCAGAAACCATACTTCCACGAATAAAATCTGTGGTTAGTATTTTGCATTTAAAATCTGTGTATTATACGGAAAAGTCCTAATGGTAAACACCTCTGCATATCTTACAGATTCCTCATAGTGTCTTGCATTAAATCCAAATTTAAAGATCTTGACAGTGAGAAATTAAATATCCTTCACTGATGGCAAAAGACAGAACTTCTTAAATCATTTACCAAATTTCTGTCCTCCGTGTAAATTTTTTGATTTTTTAATCAATGCATAGAGCAAATACACCTTGACCTTAAAAATGGACTTATTACAAAACTTGAATGCAACAAAATCATTTTAGTTGAAATCAAACAAAGTTTAATTTTGGACCCTTCAAACCTTAATATGGACTAAAAAACAGGGCCCAAAATAAAAAATCTAAATGCACAATAAGATTCAGCATATCATAGAGCCTCAATAATTCAGTTTTTGATGAAATCAAAGAAAGTTTAATTTTGGACCCTTAGGACCTCAATGTAGACCAATAAAAAAATGGGGCCCAATATCCAAAATAGTAATACAAGGTTAGAACCCCCAAAAATTAAAGACTTTAAATTAATCCCATTGAAATTGGTGAAAAGATTTGTATTAATTTTCAATTGAAGATTTCTTGCTATTGCGCAATACTGTTTTTGGTCCCTTTTTTGCCCCTAATTCCTGAACGTTTGGGGCAATTACCCCCAAACTTAATCCCAGTCTTTCCTTTGTGATATTGAACCTTGTGGTACAATTTCAGAAAGATCCATTTAGAAAAATGCTTGTTTTTGGCCCCTAATTCCTAACCTGTTGGTACCGTAACCCCCAAAATCAATCCCAACCTTCCTTTTGTGGTATTGAACCTTCTGATTAAATTTCATAGAGATCCATTCACTTTAACTAAAGTTATTGTCCGGAAACCAAATGTGTCTTCGGAAGACGACATAGCACTATACAAACGCAAATTTTTTGCAGTCGTATGAAAAGCATGTGTGCTGTTTTTTCTTTCAAGCACAACATAATGATTTTCATGGCTAAAAACTTTCATGAAAATCACATAAACAGTAGTCAAATCGTAAAACGAACAAATTCTGTTCTGTCCATTACGGGCAATGTTACTTTTTATACTTGGAAATTTAATTTGGCACAAATTGGTAAGGCAACAGAAAAAGCTTACTCTTAATATGAAATTTTGAAATATCATTTAAGGGTGGTTTACACAATTTCTTAGAACAAAAACACTAATCTAATGATCCTTCTTTCTGTGCTGATAGCCTGATACAATTTAAAAACGTCTTACATGTCTTACCGGTAATTGTAACAAATTGTTCAAACAAACATCTTATGTAATAAGAGTAGTTTCTTATCGAAACAAATGCTCAAGAAAATGTTCATATAGATATAACAAACTGCATTCATAAGATAATAACCTCCTGATTGGACAATAACTATAACATGTTGGTCAAGGAAGTTTCGTGTTCCAGCTTCTGACTGGCATGATTGTTATATATTACCTTTAAGTTTAGCCAATGACTGACTGGCATCTGTATTCACAGCCTTGTTTATAATGGTACATAACTGGAAAATATTCATATATTCAATGAGAAAATAGCATAATAAAATGGTAAACATGTTTCTATCTTGCAATAAACGAGAATATGTCAATCATTAAAGAATCATTATAATTTATGTAGAAAACAAAGGAGTAGGTCCGGTAAGACCCCTTTTTGGCCCCAAAATATAGCATTTTAAATACCGGGTAATTGTTAAAAATTTAAACTTTTACCATTTTTTCGAAAGTAGAATACTTTGTTACATAAATATTGGCTTGTTTTTGACATTACACTGCACATGCATCAAGAACTAGCATCAATAATTCATGCAAAATTACTGAAATTGTCACAATTTTAGCATTTGTGCTAATTTTTAGACGGTTTTTGTCTAAAATGGAAGTGGCTGCACTTGTGTTCAGTTTTAATATTTAAATATATGTTGTATTTGATGATGATACATAACATATATAAAGGTTGAGACTGAACACAAATGTGGCCACTTCCATGTTAGACAAAAACCATCTATAAAGTGACATTTTGTGGCATATTTGATAGATTTTTCATATCTAAGCTTGAATTTGAGCGTCTTTAATGACCAAATCAGTTCAAATCTTTTCCTTAAACTAATTGAATCGACTGGAGATGACACTTAAGTGTTTAAACAATGTCAAAAATCGTTCATCAGATGTACTTAAAATTTTAGGCCATAATCAGTCCTTACCGGGCCTTCTCCTTTTTTTTATCCTTTTTCTAATTTCTGGATGTTTAAATTCACATGATTTTTAAATAAAATATTTTTGACTGATTTTTGCTAAATCCCCATCTTTTAAAAGAATGATGACTACCTATCTTGATGTTTTTTCTAGTTTTGTTAAACAAAGAAAGAAACCTGCATAACATGTATAAGCAGGACTTTGTTCATAAAGTATCTAAAACAAAGCCAGTTCAACATCTTAGGTCTCAAAACATGCAAAAGCGGCAGACTTAACAAAGTTATATTTATTTCGCACTGTACCTGTCCATTTAATTGTTTCTTTAGAGCATCCTCAACAACTCCTTTAAAGAGATTGTAGATCCATGCAGCACCACCGTGGAAGTGGACACCTAATGAACCTATACTGCAACTACATCCACTGGAGGCTATCTTTGGTCGACCTGTGCCATCCACTCCTAAAAAACAGAAAATTCATTCATATGACATACCAGTAGTTAAACATGTTTGTTAAACTGAATTACTATTGCTTTTCAAATATCGCCATGTCCATTAATTCATGCAATATCCATACATATACATCTAGATTTGTAATATGAGGCAAATGTTACTTTAGAAAGAGGATTATGTCTCTATTATTGCAATGATTGTTTTTGGTGATCAGACATACAAATTTTGCGGGAAATCGTATGGCACTTTATGGTCTCAAAATTGGGTATGAGTTGGTTCAAGTAATGACTTGGTAAAGGTAAAAGGTTAAAGAATGACTCGGTAAAGGTACTAGTTGGTTGAGTACAACCTGCTTTTGAAAGGTGCTAGATGTGACGAATTCAACTAAAGCTGGTTACTGCTCATGTGCAAAAAAAACAGAATTGAAAGATTTTGAATTTACTAGTATTAAATTCTTATAATGATTCTTCTATTGAAAAAACATAGAACTTTATTCTTTTCCCAGTTGCAAATTCAGAAAGATAGTTACCTAAAGAAATTCCAACATTAAAATTGACTCCACTGACAGACACATCTATATTTCCACTATCAGATATTGGTATGCTGCAATTGAATTAAAAAAAATTATTCCAGATAATTATAAGAAAATTTCATTACAAGATCAATCATGGATGTGTAAACTGTTGAGGCTTAGGGTATAATAAAATGACAACTAACTGTAGCAATATAATTTGTTGATTTCACTTTCTTGTCTTTTTGGTCTTAGCTAGGAAGCTGTCCCACGGGCAATTACATTAAATTCCTTCTTTTTTTATCAGCATTTGGATATGTAGGCTTAAAATGCAAAATATGAAATGGAAAACATTGTTTGAATTGTTGTAAACTGACATTTTTCCTGAGTGTGAATCACTACCTTGTTCTGTGGTCTTTCATTTACTTTGTCCTAATTATAATAGGGTACATACATCCCAAAATTGGTTTCTGTTCTCTATAAACTTAAGTTTGCCTCAACCAAATGTTATGAATCTTATACACAATGCTTATTACCACAAAACACAGATCAAGTTTGAATTTTGGTGGCGTCACTTTTACCATTCTAGAGTTATGCCCCTTTACAAATGGAAAAGTTGCTGAATTTTTCGCTTCAATTCTCTAACTTAAGTTTGCCTCAACCAAATGTTATGAAACTTATACACAATGCTTATTACCACAAGACTCAGATCAAGTTCGAATGAGGTTGCCGTCACTTTTACCGTTCTTGAGTTCTGTCCCTTTAATGTTATATGCAAACGGGGGCATCATCTGTGTCCCATGGACACATTCTCCATTTTTTTAATTTTAACTTAACACAGTTCAATTATTGAGAGGTTAGCACAATAAAACCAAATGAAATTTTTTTGTCACACTTACATGCCATGATATTTGTAATGAAAGTGTCCATTAATGGACAGTCCTAATCCATCAGCCTTCCAATTCAGTCCATCTGCTGTTACTGTAATACCACTTGATGGATTATTGAAACTATTTATCACAACACTGGAAAATATCATACAATTTACATACATGTAACTCTGCCATGCACACAGTTCTATAACAACATTATGACAGGAACTAGTTTGACAAACCACTTCAATGAATTTTGCATTTTTTAACTAATCATGCTAATAGATAAGTGTGTGCAACCTTAAACTTCAGTGTTTTTTTTCCAAATACTATGCATTGAATGTTTGACAGATGTGTTTTCACTGTATATTGCCACTAGAAAATCAAAACATTCCCCCTCCGACTTAATGTATATGTCCCTACTATTAACTTGGAAATCATATTTTTAGTAAAATATATGGAAAAATATAAACTTTACTCGAAAATATTTTCAATATGATACAGATCATACATGTACATGTATAACCATGACAACAAACTTAAGGTTGCTTAAATATGAAGGTTTGTATGTGGGGCGTGAATGAAAATATTTGGATATTACAGATATGTGATACAATATTACAGGCAGCTGGCTAATGTTAGATGTATTTGTATGAAGCCATTGAAGGAGTTATAACACTTTGTCACATATGAATTGGAGAGACCAGAAAGTTAATCAATCATACCTTCTCCTTTTTTGCTTGTTTTTTTTTTCAGTGATGTTCAAAACATTTATGACTGCCCTTGGTAAGTTATTACTATTCAATGTTACCACTGTTATAAACTGCAGCTGAAATCATTTAAAAAATACAATGTACTTACTTTGATAATTCATAACTAACATCTCCTGAACGGCCACTCTGGTCAGGAATTTTCTGACCTTTTGCTGATTTTGATAGCTGTTCAATTGCTACTTGGCTAGCTAAAAAAAAGAGCAAGAACAATGGTAAACTAAGAACAACCATGATAAATACACAAAAAAGTCAAAGATTGTAAAAAGAACTTACAGTAATGGTTGTGGTTCAAAAGGTGGGACCTGTTCATTACAATATTTTCAAAGACCAAAGATGTGAACAGTACTTCTGACAGAAAACCTTAAAACTCTTTGCTTTGGAAAACTATTTAGATCATTGAACTTTCAAGGTCATCTGTTTTCTAGGTTACCACATCTACATGTAGCCTAATTCTAGTGTCTAATTTTAAATATTTTATTTAGATATTTATCAAATACATTTTAAAACACAGTGTTTTCAATTCCAGAATTAACAACAAATCCTGAAAGTGAATGCAAAAAATTTAAATATGATATTCTGCATTGGGAGAGTGCCACACTCCTGGTAATAAATCACTGAAATGACTTGTTGCAATGCAGATCTTACCAAACACAAAATACTCTTTACCCCACTGTCACTGTCAGTCATAATTTCCCACATTTTTATTCCAGCTGACTTACAATGTACTTCAGAGAACCTTACTAACATGACTAAGAAATTAGTTTGATCTATTTAATCTTGAACGTGCATAAACTAGTTTGTCACTGAACACAAAATAATCCACCAAGAATACATTTTTCTTCTAGCTAGATACATTTGTACAGCCCTTCATCATGTTTATGAATCTAGAATGCATACATGTACAATTCTTTTTTTTTAACATTAAACCATTTACCAACCTTGCCTGTAACCAATACCTAACATTTATTAGGTCTTGATAACATTACTAATTCTAACTAAAGTAGGAATATATATTCCAAAAATTATTGACTATCTATTAATACAGAAGACAGCTTTTCTCAGTAATACATTGCAAAAATGTAAGAACCATGCTAGCTCTACCACCCCAACCCCCCTGTAGCAGGCTGTGTCAAACCTAGTTATCATGTACATGTATCCACAGTGTTCTCAATAAGTTTTTGAATAAGAGGAAGAAAAATAAAAGTAGCAGGCAATCATGAGGGCCGCAAGGCCCGAACCGAGCGTTGCAAGTGTGAGAGGGGTCGAGTTCAAGAGGGGGTCCCCCCGTCTCGTTAAGCCGGGGGTTCGAATTTTGAAAATCTAGATTGCAGGAGGTGGCATCTGGGCTGTTCTGAGTAGATTTTGACCTCTTATTCTTCATGTTTATTTGTCCATTTTTAGTAGCTCATTTAAATATTTCCTCAAAAATTGAAAATTAATGTGATTTTTTTTTGCAGATTTTATATGACATGGCTTGCTTTTTATATGGTCCGGGGACACAGTTATCGTCCTTCGATTTTCGTTGTCTACAAATATAGTCCCTAGTGTGGACAGTGTATAACTTGCAAATTTTTTTCATTCACTTTCCAAATTTATTTCTTTATATTTAATGCATGAAATATTAAGTAAAGGGATGAAATTACATGTTAAAAAAATTTGGGTGCTGAATCTTTATGTTAAGTAGTGATTAGGTCCAGTTTAAAAAGGTCAAAAATTAGTATGTCTGAAGCTGTCAAACTGAATTTTAGACCCCCTTAACATAGAATTGTCAATATTTTGAGTTAGAGCTGGTAGACTTTTCTATAATTTTGATATTATTTGTCCCAATAGTAGTACACTACACTGTAAAAATCTTTTTGAGATAGAGCAGGTGCGATTTTTTTAATTTGACTTTATTGTCTAAAAGAAATGCACTACGAAATAACTGTGTTCTCGGGCCTAAGAGATGAATTCAGGAAATGTAGATTCTGTACTTTGGCAACGTCCCTGAATGGTTTGCTGGTTTCAATTTGTCAAACTCAATAAAAGTAAAGGATTTACATCTTTATTTGAAAGAAATTCTGTTAAAATGTCCCATTTTGACATTATACGGCTAAAATAAGCATTTTGAAGCAGTTTCCATTTTAAGCCTAAGAGGCATGCTGACTTTCTATCTGATAGCTTTTTATGCTTTGATATTTGTGTTTCTATGATTAATTCAAATTCTATTAACCATTTGTGAACTCTGAATATAGAGAAAAGTAGATTATCACAGAAAAAATGTGCAAAATGTGTTGTATTTAGGCCCTGGTAGAACGGCCTGTTTAATGTATGTTCAATGTGAAGAGCTTTGTGCATAGAATGTGTTGTCCATCATAAAAATTTCACTAAATCTGTAAAAAAAACACTTGCCAATGATCTGTGCACCTTATCCATTTCATATACTGCCTTTATTTTCTTCTGTAGGATAGTATGTGGTTCAAATATATGCCAGTTGAGACTAAAACTACATGCAAGTTTTCCATTGAAAAGTGAAAAAACTGTGCATCAGACCATACAGTCTGCAAAAAAAGTTGAATGCAAGAGTCCTTTTGCAATTAGACTTCTTGTATCATGACATCTTAGCATAGAAATGAGCAAAAAGTAACAAATTTCCATTTCTTATAGCTTCTGTATGGATTTTTATATGTAAATATGTGCTACGGCCTAAATTGACACTAAATAATGTTCAGTCTTACATAGCCTAAGATCATTTTATACTCATTTGGTATGCTTTTTGTAACTTTTCTTTCCATTTAAAGTACATTTAATATATATGAAAGAATAATTTATGGTAAAAAACTTCAAAAACTTCAAATTGGTTGAAAAAAATGCATGTTTATGTAAGGCTCCCCTTAATTCGAAAATCTGTTTTTTCAGTCACAGGCTCATATAAATTTGACTTTTGAATAATTGTAACAAATCTGATAAACCAAATGAGTGGTCAGTTGCTTTTAATACTTAATATATTATATTTAAGAGCATTTCAAAAGCAAATTTTTGCAATATTTAAATTTTTTAAGCCCAAATCTTGATAGTTGAAATTATTTGATTTAAACGTCAAAATTAAACATTCAAATTTCAATATTAAAATTGCCATAGTTTCTATAATATATATCCTATGGCCATGAAACTTGGCAAACTATCTTATAATTGCCTAAGCTTAGGTCATGCAAAGTTTAATTAGAATTGGTCAAGTCTTTCTATACTATTAGGTCCGAGGACACAGTTATCGTCCTTCGATTTTCGTTGTCTACAAATATAGTCCCTAGTGTGGACAGTGTATAACTTGCAAATTTTTTTCATTCACTTTCCAAATTTATTTCTTTATATTTAATGCATGAAATATTAAGTAAAGGGATGAAATTACATGTTAAAAAAATTTGGGTGCTGAATCTTTTTGTTAAGTAGTGATTAGGTCCAGTTTAAAAAGGTCAAAAATTAGTATGTCTGAAGCTGTCAAACTGAATTTTAGACCCCCTTAACATAGAATTGTCAATATTTTGAGTTAGAGCTGGTAGACTTTTCTATAATTTTGATATTATTTGTCCCAATAGTAGTACACTACACTGTAAAAATCTTTTTGAGATAGAGCAGGTGCGATTTTTTTAATTTGACTTTATTGTCTAAAAGAAATGCACTACGAAATAACTGTGTTCTCGGGCCATATGACATTGCTTGCTTCACCCCTTTCTATGTTCAATGTTCTTCTTATTGCAAGTCTTAATCACTAAGGGTTTTTCCAGAATTGATTGTATGGGGAGGGAAAAGCACTTTTTATTTGAATAAAATTTTAATTCATTTTTCCTTAATTTTAAGTTTTGATTGGGAAAATATGTGAAGAAGCCCATGCATTTTTTTTTTTTATTAATGCGCCTTCCCCCTCCCCATACAGACATTTCTGGAATAACCCTTATAATTGTGTCTTCACTTCATATTATTTCTTAGTGTCTAGTATTATAGTTTCAGATAGAATTCATTGAGAACATTAATTCATGCTTTATTCAGTCATTCAAAAACTGGTAAGATTTATATTTAGAGGAAACCAGAGTTGCCTTTGGAAACTGTCAACCTGCAGTAAGCAACTGACAAAATATGGCTAGAAAAATAATAAATTTTAAACCCAGGAAATAAGAACTACATGCATGACATGTATGTAGTGTCAATAGTTTATCAGGTTACACTCAATCCTCTCTGTTGGTCAGAGGGTACAAGTTAAATCGACACATATCGAAAAAGTCAAATCGGCATCCGATTAAAATAGCACCTATTTTAAAGTCATTTCGGCATTTAGTTGGTCAGTTCGGCACCAAATAATAATTTCCATCTGTTTTCTGCTTTTTAATTATTTAGAAAAAAATGGGGTTGGATTTTATTTTGTTCAGTACATTAATAAAAATAATCTTGTTATTCAGAAGTAAAATGTTTGAAGTTTTATTTTAAACTCATATGACTGATGTTTTGATTTGATTTGGTTTGTTACTTTTCAATTAATTATTTAATAACTTATATCAATTAAATAATAAACATGTTTGTTGTTTTCACTCTATACAGGTAGTTATTGATGTTTTTCTTCAAATAAAAACCAATGAAGCCATTACCCAATAAAAGGGCAAACTATGAGTCCCAGTCATCAATATCAACTGGTTAAAACATGCATAATAAATATCCAATACCCTGAATACAAATATAGTTGACCGAAGAAAATACACAAAGAAACAAAAAGAACTTGATTAAATACAATAATTAATTCTGGCCATCCCCTCCTTTATTTCAATTTTTTTGCTTAAAATACTAAAAACAGTATATATTCAATGTATATTTGACTACGTACCGAATTGAGTATACCGGGTGTCGATTTAACCACATTCCGAAGTGACTAGAATTCGTCAGATGTGGACTGAATTTACCGTGTTTTATTTTACTTTATACTCCGGTGATTATACATAAAATACATAAATGCACACAAGTTTAAATCCATGTAAGATACATTAAGCGAGCTAGTATATATATTTGTTTAGGGGCCAGCTGAAGGAAGCCTCCGGGTGCGGGAATTTCTCGCTGCATTGAAGACCTGTTGGTGGCCTTCTGCTGTTGTCTGTTCTGTGATCGGGTTGTTGTCTCTTTGACACATTCCCCATTTCCATTCTCAATTTTATTTATTATCTTT